TTTAGGATATTAAGTAAAGATCATGTTCCATGAAGCTATTTTGTAAATTTCCTACCATAAATATATCAAAACTTAATTTTTGATATGCATTGCTAAGAACTTCATTTGGACAACTTTAAAGGCGATTTTCTCAATATTTTGATTTTTTTTTGCACCCTCAGATTCCAGATTTTCAAATAGTTGTATCTCGGTCAAATATTGTCCTATCCTAACAAACCATGACTCAATGGAAAGCTAATCAAAACATTTACCCTTATGACTGGTTTTGTGGTCCAGGGTCTCATATGTAAACACTAGTATTGTTATGCTTTTTGTTTGTTCTTACCATGGTCACCCATTGATCAGCTTCAGGCACATATTAGCCTAAAACTAACAGATTTCAGCCTTTTGTTTTTTTGTCTGTCATATAGAGGTCACATTAAAACTATCCTGTGCACTTTTTATAATTCCATCATCATTCACATTTGCTGCTCTTTGAAAGTATTTGTGAAAGTTTTGTTGTTTTACCAGACTTTCGATCTTAAACTATGAAAATCCATCATACAAATATAAATTATTATATTTAAAAATTATGACCAAAACAAAAGTGAAAAACCTAATTTTGTTAAAATGATTTAGCCTATATCAGTGACAATGCATTTCCACCACACCAAACAGTTATGCCCTTACTATACTTGTTTCTTAAGTGTTTTCTTGTTTACCAAGAAGACAAGGGTGCCACTGGAGAGCTTGAGAAGAAATATGTGTTAAGAAAACAAAAAACTTCAAACAATTTCAAATACCACTTGTGAGTAGAATATTTTCACTTAGGGTCATCTCCAATTAAGCTGTAGTTTTGTTAATTTGTACGAAAAGTGTCATAAATTTATACGTCATACATGGTTTTGAGATGTGATGCAAATGGCACTGGAGAATGACTGTTAGTGGACAAATTAGTGTGAAAATTGTGTTTTAAGAGAGGTTATTTTCTAAAAGTTCCCATGCAAGTTCAAAAGTTCCCATAGTTAAAGAAACACCCATATACAGTTTGTTGGCAGAAATCTTCCTGCCAATCTGGCTCAGTCCATGATTGACATTTTCTTGAGGCATGAATAGAATATTTGTAACAATAAAGACGGAGATAGAGTCTTTCCTTCTTTATTTTAAAAAAAGAGCACACATGTTTTCAATGTTACATGGTGGTAAAACTGCACTGTACGGAAAGCTGTAATTTAGAGTATAATTCATTTATTTTCCTGACCATGAATGTTTTATTCATCCTGTCACTATAGAGATTCCCAAGCCCTCTGTCTTTCCCCTTGTGTTCACGTTGAAATTTATGAGCGTGTAAAATGTGATTTTGATTATATTTCTGCACACTGCAGTGCTTGTCTCCTCCTTTCAGACCTAAATAGCTCCTTTTTAATTGACTTATTCTTCCCATTTATTAAAACATTATGTTGTGGTCGGCGTGTTTAATGCCTGTCTCTTCCTTTTTAAAGCTCCAGCAGTGTTTCACCAAACGTGTCGGTTTCCTAATTACACATTTCTTTAAAACAGATTGTCAGCTTGGATCAGTGACAGAAATCTTCCGGAATCTTTCTCCCTCTTTGATTCTCTCTCTCTCTCACTCACTGTCTGTCTGTATCTCTCTTTCTCTCTCTTTCCGACATATCAAACAACATGGCACGCAATTCCTGTATTTCATATGTACAATTTCTCCATATTAGGTTAATAGAGCGTAATTGGCTTTGCTGTGCCCGTAATATCCCGCTCTCTTAGGAAGGCATATTTAATGTGTATTTTGCCCTCCCTGACTTGTCTTGTTAGGGCTGATTGTTTGATTGTGTCTGGCGGGCTGGCTCACCTCCACCTCAATTCAGCGCTACAGGCAATAAATACATATTTATTACTCCCTATTTCATTGCCCACGTACTTCTAAATGACTGAATTTATTCAGTCGCTTGACTGCTTTATGTAATCGAATGCTTTATGAATGCAGCAGATTAATTCATTAATTGCGACAGCCGTAATAAATCAGTGAAGTGATGTTCCTTTTATGATTGCCTTTAAAAGCCCCCTCATGTGTTCAAGCCGTGAGCGTCTCATTCTCTTCGGATGTCTGAAGAGAGGCAGGTCAGGGACCTGACACAACATTTGTGTTCGCACTACTTTTCCTCTGCTTTTTGTCCGAAGTTCCTTCAGTCATTGTTTGAAAAAGGAAATCTTCACTGTTTCACGGGTTTGGATGGATGGAAAAGTTTATTTCAACTAAATGAATAGCTGGTAAAAGACATGGGACAATATAATTAGTTACAAACTAAATTTTGACTCTTTTTGTATATTCACAGGGCTCAAGGAGAACCAGAGCAATCTCTTCCGCGCACACACATGCACACACAGCAGCCGGTCCTGCGAGCACCTGCTTACTAGATGTAGATATGGAATGCAGGTGGTGGAAGTTCCTTCACTGTGCCCCTGATACCAATATAACACAGATGTCATGGTGTTGTTCCAAAACCACAATCACAACATATGGTAATTGCTGCAGGATGAATTTGCTGGCCTTCTCTATAGCAAGGGGCTGATAAAAAAAAAAGAGAAGTCGGCTACCGGCACTGCCCAGAGCGAGCGCCTGCCAAAACCGACTCTATGAAACGTCGGTTACGTGAACGAGGCGCCATCAGGTAAACCCATTAGCACTGCTGATAGCCGTAGCTATCCCAATGTCAAGTGTTTTGGGGGGCGAGTTATTCAGCAGCTGTGCTCTTCATAGACGTTAGTGGATTGTTTGTAATTCTCTGAGTGCCCACCCTGGACTTTCCTCCTCGGATGGGCCTCTCTGTGGTGTGAATTTAAATATGTAGTACACTTTCGCTTGATCTGTTTACCTGAGGTCTCGAGGATCAGGGCACAGGGAATGATGTCTGTGGTGGGTGGAAAAGTTATCATCGGTGAGTTATAACGTGCACGTCTGTGTTTATGTGTGCGTGTGTAAGTATCCCCTCCTGAATGAGGCAAAAACAACCATGCGGACATGTAATGACTTTATGTACATGATTGAATTCGCAGTGCCAAAGAATTAAAAATGTGTTATGCGCAGAAATAGGATCATAAATATAAATGAAGCAGACATGTTCTCAATGAGCTGTGATTAGTTCACTGCATCCAGCTCTTGACTAAAAGTGTTTGTTGCATTGCCAAATATTTAGGTTAGGTGAGAAACTATTCAAATGTTGTGAAATCAGGAAACGCTTGGGATATTTGCACGTTTTGACACATCTTGTTCTTGTATAGACTGTGAAAAAACACTGGAGCATCTGTAAAGGAAGAGGCAAAGAACTTCATTTACGTCATCCAGAATGAATTTGACTTGTTTTTGATGATTTTTATTCAAATTAGTATTGGAAGTGTCAAACTGCATCAAAGCCATTCTTGCAGTTTCCCTCTCATCTTTGTTAATAGCCAGCCTGATAGTGTGACCTTGGCTTAAATTTTACCATACAACACATCACATAACACACATCTGCAGGATCAAAAAATGTTGTATATAATTACAGTGCAGCATTGGTCAGATATAGAAAGTGACAGTTATAACAGCTGACCTAAAACCATCAGCTCATCCTTATTGTTGAGTTTTCTTATGTAGATAAAATACATATTATCACAATTTCTCATCTGGATTGAGGGATTTTCTAGTTACAGATGTAGAGAAGTTGTTGATTTTCTCAGCCTGGGTGGAAGCAGTGCGATTTTATTTCTGAGCAGATGAATTCTGCCATTATTCATCCTCACCTCCTGAGTCTGCTGGTGGAAATTGAAAATGAGTGCTGTTTTCTGCTTCTCTAGTCGGTAGTTTTGCAGCTCGGCGTACGAATGCACACACTCACTCACTCACGCACACACACACTTACATTGTATTGAGAGCCTTGAGAGTCTGGCTGGGATTCTCAAAAAGGCTATCTTGTGATTTTATGGCGCCACCATCTGGTCATCAGGGGGTCAGGTGGAAAAAAAAGAATGGGAAAATAACATTTTTAAACAATACTGATTATAATTCCTCAGCCAAACAGCAGAAATCATTGCAGTTTTCAAAAAAACAACACACCACATCTAGGCATACTATACTGACTAACTAGGCTTTTTGCACCTTTTAAAAAAAGAAAAGTTAAATAAATAATGCCCTGTACATTAACTTCTACTTTTTTTGCCTCAAGGACATTTTGGTATAGTGGACTAATTGCTTTTGTATTACTCTCATTTGTAATTGTATCTGCTAAATTAATATATGCTAAAATATAAATGATAATAAAATATAATTACTTATAAAACCATCTACTAAATTAATATGTAAATGAAATTTCACTTTACGCAGTGTTGAGAGAAAACATATTTTGTAAAAACAATCTGTGTATTAATCTGTGATGTTTTAGTGTCTTTGAGAATTGGGTTTCTCATTTAATATTTTCAGAAATTGATAATTCAATTTCCCAAAGTTTAATTTGTGTATAAAAATAACAATCAAGACTTTTTTTTTAAACTCTTGTGGAACAATGATTCAACTAATCCAACCGCAATTGCAGTAACCAATTTGTGTAAAATTATAACTGTCATTCATAAAGGTAGATGACAGATATTTTTTGTTAAATAAGAAAATCCTCATCGGCTTCTAAGATCAGAGATCCTCATCAATAATCATCATGATTCATAATGTGTGATGTTACTAAAGGCGAGAGAAAAATGAATGTGGAAAAATCATGCTTATTTTGTCTCATATCCGACAGCTGCCATTCTGGCTCTCATTTCACCCGTGGCTGAGGGATGCTCAAGGACTATTTCTTAATTCCCCCTCTCTGAGACAGTGCAAAGCTGCGCTTATGTGCATCTGCTGGCCTGGGAGTAATTGGCTCAATACACATATTGATCAGATGAGTATGAAAATGCCATCAAAATGTCAGTTGTTAAGTTTATTGATTAAGCCGTGAAGTCTTGGAATCATTTGAAGGAGTTCTTGTTTCCCCGCTCTGCCACGGTTACATTGTTGGGTAAATAAAACCAGCTCTTAATGAAGGAGTGCATAAATAAACATGATGCTGTGTGGAAGGAGAGCTCAGGTTGGTCTATGTATTGACCGCATGAAATGAGATCGGTGAATGGACGTGTTTGCTCATCAGCGAGTGTAATTCTGAAGGGACAGCAGCCACGCTTAAGGATATAGAAGCTTGCATCACATAACAGGCAACAGGAACTTGTCTCTGTGTATTGAGGTCTCCAGTCTCTCAATGACTTTTTCTCACTGCTAGAGGGACATAGGCTCTCTCATGTCTCTTTCTCTCTACAGCTTCAACACATACACAGAGGGATCAAGGTTAGCAGAGAAAAGGGGGAATGAAAAAAGTCAGAGAAATCGGTTGATTTTGTTTCTGTCCAAAGGCCTCTTTTGTGATGCTCAAGTTCCCTCGTTACGGTTTCTTTATCACGTTCCCAGGAAAACAAACTTTGAGGCTTAAGGGATGGTTGCCTCATTGTAGGTAAACACATAGTTTTTTAAATTATATCAACTTTTTCCAAACTTTATGGGATTTTATAGATAGAATGCTTAAACTGAGGCTGTCCTTTACATACTGAATGTTGTTTTGAATCTCAATTATAGTGAAAATTGACTGATGACTAATATAACACAAAATTATTATTTGCTTGAGGATATATAAATATATATATATATATTTCAAATTGAAACAAGCTTTATGTTTCTAATTTAAGATTGCATTTCTTATTTGTCTTTTCCCTTCTGTGGTAAATTGCAATTGCTCGTGAATTTGAATTATAATTGTTAGATTACACAGAGCAAAACTTTGTGTATTTGGGAGAACAGTTTGGACAAAGTTTTGGTTTTGCTCTGTGATTACTTGGCATGTGTGAAAGAGAGAGCAAGAGTGATACTGAGAAATCGTAGGTCTGTTCAGCTTACTGAAATAAAATCTAGACAGACTCGTGATGGTTTGTACAAGCGTCCTGCTAAGCATAAAATTGGAAGTGTGAGAGCTAGGAGATTCTCTGTCTTCGTCTGTGGCAGCCGTCCTGCTCGTGTTTTCTCAGCTGAGTTTTAGTCGTGTTTAGTTTGAAGAGCTCTGGGCACTTCCTTGACCACATGTTTGTGCTTCAGAGTGCCCCCGTCTCTCTTCCAGCACTCATTCAGGGCAGTGGTCTCTAATAAAAGCCTGCTCTTCTTTTACATAAATGAATGGGCATCAAACCCTCCCTCCTCTTAAAAGTGTTTGCTTTCATTTGACTGAAACGCATATACGTAGATGCTTCTGTAAACCCAACAGCAACTGGACCTCAGTTACCTTGAGGATTGGATCCTTCTGTAATGATAAATATATGTGCTCCAATTTTCCCACTCAATATATAGTCTCGACACTCATTTTCTCCTCCCAGTCCACAAAAATTTTCCTTCTAGGAAGCGGCCTTTGATGTGTAGTATTCTGTTTGATTTGCCCATTTTAAATTATGTGTGAATTATTTACACAAGCTGTTATGATGTCTCCAGCAACAGTGTGTATATTGTTCCAGTGAGTTAGAGTTCACAGCATGCTTCTGAATCCTAACTTTGTTGCAAAGCAAGGTGTGGAATTGGCCAATGTCTCTTCCCTGGAAAAACAAATGGTTTTCAGCAAAAAGAAGCAATAGTGTTGAACCAGCAGATGGATATGAGACTGTTAGACAGCAATTCAAACTAAACTTAGTGAACTGTGTTCTGCTATTTTTCTTTTCTTTCTATAGTAACTTTAGATAAGTGCATCCATTGTTCTAACAAAAAAATTAAAATCTATCACACCTGCAGCTATAGCAGGATGCCATTTATAGTATTAACATGAATGCACCACATTTCATATGGTTATTTGTTTAATTTTTATACACTAACCATACCCAAATTCTGTCTTCATTTAAAGCAATGGCAAATATGAGTTACTCTGTTGAGGAAAACATTTAGCCAAGTAGCTGATTAATGTTACGTGTTAATGGTTAGAAATTGGGAGGGAGAACAAATTGAGTCACAATGAAAGAATATACAGATTGATGCTAATCAAATGAATCTAGTGTTGTGTGCAAATGCCGTTCTTCTGATTGTGTATAGATGTATACATTTAATATAAACATTTCAAGTCATAATGTGTGAACTGGTGTCAAAAGCTGTGTATCTACCCACACACATACTGTATATAGAAGATGTGTACACATAAATATTTAATAGCCTATCAGACATATAGTGGGGTACAGTAGCCTGAGACCACATTGAAAATCAGTTTGATTTGTTCTGTTAAAATCTATATATAAACAGAAGCTTTTTTTTTTTAGATATTGAACCATTTAAAGCAAAGTTGTGACAAAATGAATAAGAAATTTTTAGCATTTGTATTCTGCATTAAGTCTGTATTATAGCAAATGTATGACATTAATCAAGCTCGATAGCTCACTCAAATCATGAACATCAGAATTTTACACACACTTGTGGAGTTCATGCAGCTCTATGCTACTGCCACTAAAGCAAAGAACAAACCAAATACTAAAATATTTTCAAATTCATGTGCATTTTTTGAATTCAGCTTTTCACTCAAATTGTTATGGTGTTAATATAGTCAGACTGTTTGAAAAAAGCACACGTGCCTCTTGTTTAAAGTAACAGTGTTGTTAAAGTGTTGCATATGTATCAATGAGCATGACGTACATATTCTCTTAAAGAACAGGTCTGTAAGTCTTGATGAATAAACTATTGCATTTACAAAACACTTGCTCTGTACTTTATATTGCTATTGTGTAGCATGGCACCCACATAAATTCTATATTGGAGGATTCAGTCTCCTCTGAACACATATTGCCAGATGGTTGTGCTTTAATACATGCATTGTTTACAGCAGTGATTTGTTGTTTTGTTATTTAAAACAATTAAAGTTGACAATTCCCTAGCACAATGTCATAACTAGTATGGTGAAATAATGAGAATCTCATATCGGTCAGCATCATGTCTCGTAACGCTCCTGTGTGGATGTTTAGAGTGAGAGTGAGAAATAAACAAGAGTATCTGAGGGCGGCGGAGACACAGTCAGATGAAATAATCATAGCCGTACGATTTTAGCAAATGGCTGCAATATAACAAAGAGTGAAAAATTTAAGGGGGTCTGAATACTTTCCGTACCCACTGTAAATGAGCTTTGAACTCAAAAGCTGCTACATTATTATAATACCTCCCACCATTCAATGTTTTATTCTCTGCATAACTTGCTCTATAAATATGAGCTTTGTATTCTGCAGCAATATGTGGAGACACCACCAGAGACCGAAATAACATGGGAGTCAGTTGGGAAGTGTTCAGTTTGCCCTTTATAAATGATGATATGCTCTTCCTCTTGGGGTCTGCACTCCCACAATTTAGTAAATAAATAGCATTGTAATGTACAAGCATCCCAGCCCCTTCTTTTAGGTAAAATCTAAACTTCTCCATTAGGAGCAAAGTCTGTGAGCCTTTGAAGATAATTAGCAAATGCGGTGGAATGTCGGCAATGCTTGAATTCACACAACCCCACCCGTCACATCCTCCCTTTAGGTGGGAAGAGCTAGAACCACAGCAGTGCAGCACAGAAAGAGCGCTACTTCTTCAGAAACAAAGTCCAAAAAAGCAGAGAAAATATCTGTCTTTTTGTCTATCTATCTATCTTGGATTGGTAGTTGGATGATTATCAATGGAGGTTTCCTACAATATTTCGCTCAGTCTGAAATCAAAACATTACTTTTTTTAATTGGCCATTTGTAAATGTTTTGATATCAGACGGTTCCCATAAGTACACAATTAAAGCTCTTTTCTCTAACAATCTAACTACATAAAATGTATGTTGGGGGTCTCCTTTGTTGTTTGTGCTTTGTTCTATGCTACTATTACTGAAATCCCAAGACAAAAAAGCACATTAACTGGAATATACAGTGGGTACGGAAAGTATTCAGACCCCCTTAAATTTTTAAATAAATAGCATTGTAATGTACAAGCATCCCAGCCCCTTCTTTTAGGTAAAATCTAAACTTCTCCATTAGGAGCAAAGTCTGTGAGCCTTTGAAGATAATTAGCAAATGCGGTGGAATGTCGGCAATGCTTGACAGGTGCGTTTGATCAGTTCCATCAGGCGAAATGAGTGCTGACAGGGGTGGGGTGATGGGGGAAGAGATGGAGAGGTTACAGGAAGAGGGGGAGAAGTGCACACTTTCCATTTAACACCAGCAAAAAAGACAGATTTTCAGATGAGTTTTTGACAGTGTTTGAATTAAATGGCATGACTGTGTTTTTTTCCTTGTGAAATACTTGTCATTTAGTTGTTGTGTTTATATCTAAAAAAACGGTAAAATACTGCAGTCATGATGTTTATGTACAGTATATAAACTACTTTTCAAAAGTTTGAAGGTATTTATTAATGTTTTGAAAGAGGTCTTTTATGTTCACTAAAGCTGAATTTGTTTGAACAAAAATAAAGTAATAACAGTAAAAATGTGAAATATTATTAAAATTTTTTGCTACTTTAATATGTTTTAAAATGTAATTTATTCCTGTGATTGCAAAGCTGATTTTCAGCAGTCATTAGGCCTACTCCAGGCTTCAGTGTCACATAATCCTTCAGAAATCATTCTAATATGCAGATGTTGTGCTCAAGAAACATTTCTTATCAATGTTGAAAACAGTTTTTTAGTACTTGATTAAAATATTTAATATTAATTTGTAATAATATTTATTTTATTTAACACTATATATGTCTGTACTGTTGCTTTTGAACAACTTAATGTGTCCTTGCTGAATAAAAGTATTAATTTCTTTTAAAAATAAATAAATAAATAACAAATACTGACCCCAAACTTTTAAATGGTAGTTTATATAAGTGACGTGGCTGCAATAAAAATTCAGTTAGCAAAATGTTGTTTCAGACAAATATAGAAGTTCATCTTTGTTCTTCCTCATATAAACATTGTGAAGTGATTTTTGTTATACTCAGAATACTGTATGAGGCAAGTCCCTGTGAAAGTCATTAAAATATTCTCTTTAATTGTGATGGTCATTACCACCACGCTGTTTACCGTCTGTAAGATTTGTTTGATCTATATGTTTTCCTAACTTTTTAAACAACAAAAGTTTTACATTATATGACTATTAGAGAACCCACGAGGCGTGATTTCGCCCAATAGTTTGTGAATAGATCATTGATGAATCGAGTCATTTTTCAGCAGTGACACAGTTACACAATGGAGCCCAATTAAATGAGTTGCAATATGTGAGAGCTCATTTGAAGATGCCAAGAGCATAGTTTATATATAAATGCTAATATTTGAAAGTCAAATTAAAGTTGAAAGGGCCCATAATAACTGTTAATTAACTCTTGTTTTCTTTCTAGCGCACCCCTCGACAAAGTTGAACCAACTGAAAGATTCACAAGGCTTCTCTTTAACATTTCGGACCACAAAGCTAAATTTCAAAGTGTCAGGCTCTGCCTTTGAAGTGGGTTATTCTCTGTAGATTAGATATTATTTTAAGATCCCTTTGTTTAAAAATTCATTTTTATTATCCCTGCATGAAATGCAGGGGCAATTCCCTACATAGCCGACCATCAGTGCAATTAACATCTTCGATCGAGACTGCATTCCTGATAATTAATACAGACTTTGGGGCTCCCTTGTGATCGCTCGCAGGGGTTGGATTCTTCTGCAGCAACCATTCATTTGCAGAATGAGATTCATCCTAATGAAAATGGAATGTGAAACTTGAATGAACATGACTGCCATGTCATAATAATAAAGACTTTGAAACAACACCGGCCTTCTACGCTGACTGACTGAACCCATGTAGCTACATCGTGCCAATTAAGCATGATGATAAAAATTAACACTTGTGGGTGTTCGGCAAACATGCGGCCCGAACGAGGCTGTAAACAACTGTTTTGGAGGAGATTGTCATTACCGCCGTCTGCGTGCTAAGCAGAGTGATGATGGTGGGTGTCTGTTTTTTTTTTTCTTTCCTCGTCAGAGCTGTTTGATCCATCAAGCTCTTCTTGTTTTAATTAATGTTGTATTAATATGTATACTAAATACATGTAAGATGTTCACACTTGAGGGTTGGAATGATTAGTGAAACACGTTTGCTTATCTTACAGTCCTCTGAGATCAAAATGGCAGAATTAACATTCTGTGTGCACTTGATGGATATGACAAAGTTTTCATGACTTTGATATTTCGTGTAGAATGCACGTCGGAACACAACATGATAGTGCTTGTTTTATTGGTCTTGCTGCAATGTCTTCTTTTTACCACAACACAACAGTCCCACACTTTTGGGCCCTGTCAGCTTTTGTGCTCTTAGTTTTGGATTTAAAAACAAGGGAAGTGTTTTAGAGGCAACCATTTAAAGCTCTGTCTCTGTGTGTAAATGCAGGGTAAGCCCACCCATGGGAGTCCTTTAAGTGTTTTGAAAACATCCTTGAACATGGAGCTGCGTTTGATGAAGAAACAGAAGAGTGCAGAAGATCCAGAGCATGAACAAATCAACCCTTCCCAGAGGATAACATCTCAGCTGTCTACAAAACACTGATCCTGAGACAGTTTTAGTCTTTAACAGCTGCTAGAAAACTCCTCAAACTGTTTCAAGATCAGTCAAAAGTGCATGGTGAGCCCACAGTCCCATGTTTGGGGTAAAGTCAGATCTTTCAGAAGGGAGAGCCACAGACACAACTAATATTCATCTGCACATCACTCAGATAAAAAGGTCCACTAGATCCCAAAGGTTTTTCAGAATTTTTGTTTAAAGCATCGTTCTGCTGAGAAGACGGTGTCAGATGGGGTCATAATGTGTATTCTGTCTCCATAAGAACTTAAGGATCCACCAAGGATGATTTATTGCAGCAAGGATCCTGAGAGACGAACAAGAAAAAAAATACAACCATATAGCTGTCTTATCATATCAGCTTATCAGCTATGATTTTGGTTTACATTTGCAACAGATAACTCTCCATTCTGTCAGAAATTCATTACTATAATTATTGTTACTGACCACAATATAATTAATCAATTTCACACAAGCAAAACGGTGTGATGGCAAGTGCGATAACTGTGAGTGTGATTTTGTTGCGATTGTGTTCCTTTTGGAATCAATGGTTCATTTTAAGAACCTTTAACATCCACAGAACTCTTCAATGCACAAAAGATTCTGGAAAAAGGAAAAAGTGGAAGCAGGTTCTTCAGACTATTTCAATGGTCTTAAAAAAAAAACTAAAAGGTTCTTTAGGAAACCAAAAGTGTATTTTCTATGGAATTGCTGTGAAAAGCGCTTTTTTGAATTTGTTTTTAAGAAGTCTAGTTGAGTAACTTACATTTTAGACATAATATTATTACTAATTAGCCTACATGGTGTGGTTTTGATCAGCCGACAAAAATGGTTCCAAACAAAGTCAAAGCAGAATCAACCCATTGTAAAAAAATTTTAATGAAGACATAGTATTGGTGTTTTGTTCCTCAGTGTTTCTGAACAAATCGATTGAGTTAATGCCACTTTCTTCACCCCTATTGGCAAAATGATGTAACCTGAAAAAGAGTGATGGAAAAATCCCAAAGATATCAGATTTTTAGTGTTTGGCATAGTGACCATGGCTTTTTAATTATAAAACACCATGGTATCTACGATCATGGTATCATCACATAAACAGATACCATTATAAAATGTATAAAATGAAATAACAATATTAAGCAATTCATTATAAATTAATAGCCTACCTGGAAGTCCATATATGGTAAAGACATGGAGCCTGGCAGACTAATAATTATAGTATATTGAATGGAATAGTGTGCACATGGAAAATATGCCACAGTCAAAGGCAGAATAAGAAAACAAAACACAAGAAACAGAGAAAGTGTATAATAGTCAACTTTTGTAGGTGTTTTAATTTGCAATTATTTGCAATAAGATTGGCAGCATGACAAATTTAGACCCTAAACAGTTTATATAGAAAAGGCTTATTTTATACAGGTATTAGTTATTCATATACCGTAAATGTAGATAAAAATGTTGCCTGTTAACCAGTAACCATGAATCTTTTTAAATTAAATTATTTCTATGGATCCTGTTTTTAAACATAGCTAGATCATGTTGAGATGTTTTCATTGATGGATTGGAAAATTATTGCAAAATGATAATATAACATGAACATGTAATTTTCCTGATACCATATAAGAGCTGATCTGGAAACATAACCTGGAAAAAAATATCCTTTCCTTCACTTCATGGAAACTAGCTTTTTAATACAAAAGTCCTGCAGTAGCTATATAGCTCACTCAATTAGAAACAGATCCTTATGCTGAATAAATAAAAGATGGCAGAAAGTTCCATCAGAGTTAATTTCACTCCGCTCAATTATACAAAGGCCCACGTATTGGAAAGTTTGAGCTGAGGACGATTCTGATAAATTCGAGCTTTAACACAGGGCATTTAATATCAGCGCTTCTTAATGGGGTCTTGGTGTTGAATTATCTATGGGGCCTCTGTGATTCTAGGACCATCAAACCCCTGAACTTGAGAGCTCTGTCTTGTAATTGAATAATACATTACATGTGGCAATTATTTTCGTTAGAGCTAGATGGAGAAATCAATAACCAGGGGATCAGATCAGTGGCTGCTGTGCTCTTGTCTTTGCCCCCTTGTGGCCAATTACATCATCACAGCCCTAAACACTTGCGCTGTGTCCACGTGTTGACGGCAGATCCAGAGGAATGTCAAATGAAGGCTGCCGTACTATAAGACAGTGAAGCGAACAGGTGAAAAAAAAATGTACTTTTTGAATGGAGATGCAGAAAGCTGTTTCATAGCACAGATTGCACATATGTTAACATAACATGTAACATAACCGATAGAGACGTCAGACAAATTCAGGGTGAACGGGGGAGTTGTGTGTCTTTTTTTAGATAATAGATGCCAGTTGCAAGGACCGACCTGGGGTGATAAATTATACAAGTGTGTTTAGCTCCAGGCAGTATTCCCTATGACATACCGCTATTTGATTAAGTGGGATTAAGAAGGTTTTGTATAATGAACTACCACCTTTATGTACACTGGCATATGTAAACAACACATCAGTCAAGTATCTCTCGGCACGGTGGAGCGATTCTGTACAGCCAGACAAACAAATGCAATTTACGGTTGTCTGGAATATTCACATGCTTTAAAAAGGTGGATATCAGGTCTCATTAAATGCAGATGCAGCTTGTGGCTGAAGAGAACACTGGCTACATCAAAGGCTCTGTTACATGAATACTAATAAAGTTTTGGGCTACTCAGACTCCACACAGCCATCAGCACCGTGTGCACTGTGTGTTCATATTTTGCTATGATGTTTAACTAGTAGTAATATAGCATTAGCATTTCAGTTTTTTTCAATTGCTTTGGCACATTTTTCGAAACAGTCTTAATCTCTAAACTGTAAGTGCAATTGTCAAAGCTGTTTGCTGAAACATCAGAACCCTATTGCATGTCTGCAGAAGGTAGTAACCCAAAACATTTAATTCATGCTTCAAAACGTCTCGGTTACATATGTAACCCTTGTTCCCTGAAGGAGGGAACGGAGATGTCACGTCGGTGACCGACGAATTGGGATCTCGCTTAGAGAGACCAATCCACTTCGAGTGTAAACTAAACGAGCCAATGCACATTGGCATGTGGTGATTGCATCCAGCTGCCGCTGATCACAGCGTGAGCATAAAAGGGCAGCCGGTGCAACGCATACCAGGTTTTTGCTGAGGTGCCGAGCCGGTGACCCGGCCGCTCAGCGGTGGCGTCGGTGACCGACGAATTGGGATCCCTACCAAAGCGCCATGGATGCTGCCCCTTCCAGTGTCCTGTGCGAGCCTCCTGGGCCCCTTTTTGGTGTAGGCCGGGGCTCGCAACAAGAAGACCAGTCACTGTTGTCATAGTACTACCCACTCAGTGAGGCTGCATAACACTGCGAAAACGTACCCGTTCCACTTGGTACAGGAACGTTGCAGAAGCCCCATCCTTCCCGAAGGAGGTTTTGGAAGCACTTACGCATATGAACAACCGTTTAGGTGCATATGGAAGATTGGAGGTGATTGGCAGAAGTCTGCCGGGGAAACACGGGCTCTGAGGCTATACCGTGGACTTTACACATATGGGATCCACTTAGGTCTCTACAGATGGAACCCAGCCCTCTACCGGTTCTCATGGATTCATTGAGTGAGGGTCTGGCGCCGGATATTCCGCCACGTCTGGCTGCCGAGGGGATGGAGGAGCTCGACAGGGTCTACAGTACAGATACTCTGGAGCAGTTTTAGCAAGCCGACACTAAACTGGGGCCTCTCAGTGCCTCTACCCGTTTGAGGTGAGAACACAGGAGGGTATAGAGGGGGGCCGGGGAGGATTTAACCTTCTCGCCCCCCTATGGAACCTGATGACCAGGTCATGCTTCCCTACCGACTTCCCTTCCACGGGGTCATGGTTAGCAGCAAACATGGTTAGCAGCGACATAGACTTTAAGGGTGGATCTCTGGGGGTCTTCTCGGCGAGAATAACACCACTCGACGAACAGGTTCCACTTCAAGGCGTAAGCGTGTCTCATAAACAGTGCTCTCGCCGAAGTGATGGTGTCAACTACCTGCTGGGGTAGGTCGCCTAGAACCTCCACGCCCCTAGCTGCACCCCTCAATGGGGGTGCAGCTAGGGGGTATACGGCGATTCCCCCAGTGGAGCGGTCGGTAGCGATGCACTCGAGCCCTACCCTCTCAGCGGCACGGGAAAGCATAGCCAACATCCCCGGATCCGATTCAGGCATTGCCACCGTCCCGGAGGGCGGCAGCGCAGCCGAATATTCCTCTCCGGAAAGCTCTCCCTCCGATGCAGTGATCGACATCTGGTCGTCGGGAGGAGCACTGAAGGATACCGCTGGTACGCTCTTTGAAGAGGGCCCAGCACGTTCCTTTGGCGGCTCGACTGGTTGCGAAGCGCTAGAGGAGTGATGGTCCCCCAAGGGTTGGTTCCTGCCGCCAGGACGAACACTAGATCGCGGCAGAGGCAACGGAGCCTGGCCCACAGCTCCGAGATGGTCGACTTCCCGCAATGGGAACATGACTCATCCACGAACGCCACCTCAGCGTGTTTAATGCCCAGACGCGTGAGGCAGCTATCGTCACCATCACCCGGCACCAGGTAACGACCACATCCAGAAACGCACGGGTGAAACAGCATCTTTAAAAAGACGATCCGTTGTCTTTACAAAGACGCACCCGTGTAGCTCTTTTAGAGAAATTGCTCTTTCAGGGAAA